TAAAATTCTCCACGTTTCCTTACTCACTTTTCGAATTTCAGTAAAGAAACACCATCGTTACAAGATCACTTTAATATCAGAAACATCTGAACAATTCATTAATGTGTCATCAAACCAAAATCATGGAGAAGTTAACTCATTCAAAGAGTATATTGAAATATTTTCTTACTCTATTTAAAAGCGCTGAAACGGCATGGAGAGACAAAACTCCGGCTGAAAAATGGAAATTTTTCTATGACTTCTGCAAGTGTATGGGAGACATACTGCAACTGCGAGCTCTCAGCAATTTAAAAGTTGGAATCGTGGGATATTTTCCATGTGCGACTGGAGTTGTTCATTATACGATGCGGATTTACACCGTTTATGATTACGTCAAGTGCGGCCATTTCGCTGGTTGTCTAAAATCAAATACGAATGAAAACGATTGCTCAACGTTTCCGGCAAGTTCATATACCGCGATGATCTCGAGCCAACCAATTACAATCGCATTCGTGAGCAGAGTATAAATGAATCGCTAAAAACATAACGATGACAGTGATAATATTATCATTCGTTGGAGCGGTCATTGGGCCGTTTTATACCTTTGTTCATAACGGAGAGTTAGTCACCCTCTACAGTTTGAAATTGCCATACTTCGATCAAGATCCATACATGGAATTCATGATAAATGTCGTTTGGCAATTCTTGATTACTTTGATTGGTGGCATTTCGCTTGTTCTCACCGAAGGTGCCATAACTTTGATCAATGATACCATATCTCTCTCATCGAAACTCTTTTGCTTTGAACTCAATGAACTGTCTGATTATCTCGAAGGAAATTATGGATTCGATGCAAAATCACAACGCAAGTTGAAGAGGATCTGCATTGAAATAGCGTATTTTGAACACTGAACCAATTTTCTATCGTTTCAGTTGACTCAAAAAATGTACTCGTTTTTGATGTTTTTGCATAATTTTGACGCGTGGTCTGAATACAGTGCTGATTCATTCCTAGATAAAAAATTTTATTCATCGAAATACACATGCTCAAATGCACAACTACACAATTATAATTTATAATTTATAAAGTTCATTTGTGTACATGCAAATCTGGAATAAAAAAAGGGTCTTGTGCTGTTACTCAACCAGCTGGATGAAACGGCTTACAATTACAATTCGATCTGTTCTACTTGTTTCATTGTTTATCGTTCAATCGTAATTCAATGAGCAATAAAAACTAGCGAAACCATACAGCGTTTGACTTTTATTTTCTGTTTTGAATTGCGTGTCGAAATTTCAAAGGGTTTCTCAGATGGCTCATTTTGGAAATAAGAAATGGTTCGAATCGAAAACTAGATCGGTTGGTATGAATTCAAATTAAATCGAAGAGTACATAAATTGTACATGAGAAAATTATTCATTTGCAAACAAACCATCTGTTCATGTACAGGAGTAGCAATAGGGCCGCACGCTAATGAATAAGACATTTCGCTTCATTGCAAAGCTAGCGAACATGTTTTTATGCCATATTTCATTAAAATTCGACAATTTCTGTTTTCAGTTCATATTTTTATTCGGTTTTATTTTTGCATTTGTGTTTTATTTCAGATGGAAAGCAAGCTTCGACTAGCAATTATTTATTTTATTAGGTGATAATAACTGGGATGTCCTCAAATGTGCGTTTAACATTAGGCAACGACGAAAATAGATACACACAAAAACCTAAAAGCATTTGAAAACGACCCAAATTCCAGTAAACAAGCACACGTCAATATTTCCGTTCGTGATGATTCGTCTCAGAAAGGTTGATTGTTTGCCATGTGTATTGGAGTGTATCTTGTAATTTATTTGCTATTTGCCCTGTCAAATTCAGTAATTTGACGTCAGCGCAACGTTGCGTTAGTGTAACAAGTGTTTTGGCTTGAACATCAAAGTCACATCCAAGCGAAATTTTAGTCGAATTCCGTAAAAACTGTGAAATTGTTTAAATTCGTCCATCCGAGATATAATTTTGGGAGTATAATTTCTTTAGTGTTTTACTTTTGATGATATAATCTATCCAGTCCGTCGTTTAGTATTGGGGATGACAAATTAGTTCCAGTTCGATAAGCAGTGAAAAGATGATCATTGTAGGTATGTGTTTCATGTTGTTTCTGAGGCTCAATTTTGTCACACTTTCAAATCGAATCTTTTCATCGTCTTGTGTGGATGTTTCCCAGTTTGGTAGCGCAACTTCTAAATTTCCAAAATTTTCAAGGACCTAAGCTGGCCACTCTGAGCGCTTTGCGTGAAGTGTACGATAATTTTAGGTTTTGATTCTACGGACTTTTCCGGCAAATCATTTCGAATTCGGTGTCGGCGAGTGATTTGACAGTGATTAAAAATTCCAATGACAAATACTCCAAATGGAAATTCAACGTTGAAACTGCTCAACTATATTTTCTGATTTTGTATTAGTATCATTTTTTGTTCAAAATTATTAGAAACTCGCCAGAAACAACGTGATAAATGTTGAAGAATTGAAAAAAATTATTGCGAAAATCAAAATGGCAGAACGCTTATGCTGTGTAGCATTGTCACCAGGAGCTGGAAAAGCATTCAACTCTGCTCCCGACTTTTTAAGAAACCGGACAACATCGTCGTTACCTGTGTGTTACAGATGTTAAAATATTACTTTTACTGTTCAAATAATAATTTTGGTTAAAAATTAAGTAAATTGCAATTTGAATGAGTTTATAATTTGCAACAGTATTTCCGGCTTGGATCGAATTAAATCAGCTAGAAATATTTGATCATGCATCGCTTTGGTTTACACTCATTGGACTTGAAATTGAATGAAAAGAAAGTCTTTAACTCAATTTCTAAGTAATGTTCGATTTTTCATACCAAATATTCGAGAAATAAACGGTAGAAGTGGGTTAAACATGAATAAATCAATTTACCGGACAAAATGGCATTATCCAGCGGTTCATATCCTTTCAAGTCTTTGGCATTCAAGTCAGCGCCGTTCTCAATGAGCAGCTCGG